CCCCCACACACACGCACACGCTCACCCACACACGCACACGCGCGTGGGCGAGAACACGCGCACACGCGCACACGCGCACACACACACATATACACACACAGACACACACACACAGAACCTATGATTGCATTCTGATCCCAGAAGGGCGAGTTCTGAATACATCTGTGACAAAGACAAAATTTTAAAATGACGACAGTGAAGAGCTAAAAGCAGGAGACAAACAAACGTAGAACTACGTTACTCAAGCAACAGGAAAAAACATCACGAGATTCCTAATCCGATGCACGAGGACGCACTAAAAGCGAAAGAGCGGGGGAAAAAAGGAATAAAAGAAACCCCGGGAATTATCTGGAAACAGACAGTCCATTATGAAAATGAAATTTTACCCTTTCATCTCTGTCGCGGGCCGACCGTCTGTTAAATCGAACCGACTTGGCGTTTTTTTTAAAACGCGAGATACCAAGAGAGGCTACAGATCTTCTGTGACAGAGCGCTTATCGCTGTCTAGTAACCCGAGGACTGAGGCTCTACGTGTCGACGCCTGTCACGTTCACCTTTACGGGACCAGCATCCTTTCTATGATTGCATGAACAAATATTACAAAGAAAAATATAATTGAAAAAAAAAAAGCATTTCATAATAAAAAAATCAAACAAGACAAAGACAGCGCGGTTATTGTGGGTGAAAAAGAAAACCCAAGCAGTGCACACGAGACCATACTGACATCGGAATGAAAACCGACACTGGGAGCTTTCATACCTGTAACGGACCTAACCAGCACCAAATGAAACGTAAACCCTAAATATTTCACATTCCAACAAGAAGAACCCCTTTTTTAGCGGAAGGGGGAGAGGGGTTCATCTGCACGAAGCAACATCGATGCCACGCAATATAATATAATATCATAATAAAACGACCAACCACTCTCAGGGTTTCCTATTTGTGTCGGTTCGCATAAAATTTAGACCGCACATAAATTGAAGTTGCCAGCATTTATCTAATACCGGCAAGAAGAAAAAATCCAATAAAATCGTAAACCGAAACGAAATAGAAAATGTGTAAAAGAAATATCAACACATGACTGCACTACTCGGTTTACAGGTTGAGTCTCATGACAAGATACCATTCGTTGATGTTAGAAAAAACAAACAAAACGAAATAATTATATACAGGGGGTGGGATATTGTGTACTAAAATGTCTAGATTCTGTTTACGAGTCTATTTCGTATCTTTGAAATAGTATTGTGAGAGTGAGAGGAGGAGGAGGTGGAGGACGACTACGACGACGATGGCGAATACAAGAGAGGGGTAAAAAATATTCAAAATGACTCTCACCCTACCAAGCACGGAAACCACAAATTGAAGTTAATCCTCCGCCACCCCCCCAACCCTCACCCGACAAAATCATCATAAAAATGTCTCAAGACGTAAACTGAACTTTTTTATTTCCTCCACAAGATTGGTTCTCGTTAACTACCAGGTCGAACCTCCAGACTTTGGAATGTCTCCAGGCATTTTTCTCCTCTGTCGAACACTGTTGCCAAGCAAAGAGCGTTCACGTAAGCTTTCTCTCAGTCACTGACCTCTGAATCTCAAAATGTCAATCTCCGTCCGCTAGATTCTGTCATGGTTTCGGTATTTTTTTTTTCAGTGTAGGAGTTTTACGCCCTTATCGACACAGATTAGATAACTTTTGCTATCATTTTAATTATTCCAGTTTATATCCATTTTCTAAAAAATAAAATCAACTTTTTTTTCTTACTTTTTAATAAAACTCAATATATCTTTCAAAATTCAGTTAGGACGTACATCTATCAACACACTGTATTCGTTACAATACTTTTATGTATTTTACATGTACTTTTTAAAGATGTTACAACTATGGCATTTTTCAGACTAGCTTTCCTTATGTCTATGTTTCTTAAAAATACGAATTTCCGTTTATTCAGACTTTTCCCCTGATATTTAATTCGTTTTTTCTAGGGGGAGATATTTGACCCCCCCCCCTCTCACGCGCGCGC